CTTATTCTTATTCATGCTGCAAAAAGGTGGATGCGATCCACTGAGCGAGAGGTGTTTCTCAGCACCCTCACCGAGTCTGAGAAGAAACGTCGCAGATATGTCTAGATTTTAATGTGACTTGACCTGCGAATATTTGAAGTGCGCCCCTGCTTTGCTCACAGAGCTTGAACTTAATTTCTGAAACACAGCCCGGGGAGAGGCTAGCACGTTGTCCTGACAGCGCCGCAAAATGTCAGCTGCGCAGGGCCGGAGACAGTTGCTGTTGACAGCCTTGGATTCAGGCATGCTTTCCCAGCTCTCTGCTTCTAAGTTTTAAGGCTCTCAGGCTTCATTCCGGGAGATGTTGTTTCGACACCATACTTTTAGGAGCCGGCTAATATGCGTATTATTTCTGGCACACACAGAGTACTACATCGAAGTAGAATACGGGGAGCCTTGCATGCTACATTGAGCTGGATCGAACAATTAGGGAGCAACGAACACGTTCCTCACCGTCATGAAATACTCTCGCTTGGCTGCAGTGTTGGCAGTTCTGCGACTGAGTGCAAGCCCGAGCTTGTGGAACGCGAATGGGATCATGCTTTTAGGATTGCGATGCTACAATGCCGAGGCTTTGGGCCGTTGGATCCAGAGACACATGGTCTGGAATTTCTTGAGGTGTTCGCAGGACATGCTTTTTATTGTTTGGGGTTCAAAGGTTTAGTCAAAACTGTCGGTTATATGTTTGAGGGTTGAGTGCCGGGCCCATGAACCCAAAACCCTAAAATTTGTAAACCCAATATAATCCTAAACCCACATGCGCACACAGTTCTGCTGAACAGGAGAACACGTTCTGACCTCCGGAGTCTTGAATGCCGGATGCAGGGCTCACTGCCTAGATGCAACTTGACTTCTAACGATGGTTCAGGAGTTGCTAGACATGATATGAGCCCAAGATGCATACTTGATGAACTGAGGTTCTTTACTCCCGCAAACTCAATATATTATCATCCTTCGGTCTGCTGACCTTTTTGTTCAATGTCTCTGGGCTAAATAATCCGTGAGCCCCTGACTCAATTAGGGCCATGTAATTATAATCTAGACCGTTTCAATTCTACTGGGGGCTATATAGGGGTTTCACTTTAGACTATGTACAGATGAAATTGTGTCAGGGGCTCACATGAACTAGTAGTGTATCAAAGCAGCCAGCATGTAAATCTCGAGGCAAGACGCTTGGTCAAGGGTGCTGTAGCATGGTATGGAGTGCCCTGCTCCAATTTTGTCTTCGTGAATCTTGGGCTGAAGACATGATTCTTTGCAGTGGATCCTATACTAAAAAGCACCAAGTCTAAGTCGGGTAACAATCAATTTCAGGAGCAGAGGCTCATCTGGCAGAAGAAGGCTGAACGTGAAAGGAGCAAACTGGGATGCACATTACATCCTCACCTTTATTAGCCTTAAACCTTAAACCCTAAGCCCTAAACCAGGACTGAAGAAACGTGCTGCTGTTCGCCAAGCAAACCGGCTGGCGAGACGAGTCAGCTATTTGCAGCCCTGGCTGCAATGATGTTGCATGCAACCTTCGTTGTTATTGTCTCAACTCAACCCTCACATGCATGAGCTGAGGCTGGAGTTTCACCATCGGGCAGGGCATTATTATGTGTTAGAGAATCCGATCAATTCTCTACTATTTGAACAGCCAAGCATCAAGGCTCACATGTTCAGCATGTGCACCCACTATGCTGTCTTGAATGCCACATGTGTGCATGCATGTGTGTGGATCCTGAGTCGCGTCTCCGTGAGCATGGTGCTATCCAGATCAACTTGTCGCTTGGGGCACTGGGTTCTCCCAGTGTCAAGAATGACACTAGTCTGCGCAATGATGGTGAGCAATGATAATCAGCACTTGCAAACACATGTGGTGCACGAAGCCTAGGTGACTTTGTGGGGCACAGCGCCATTTCTGCGGGACATTGGGGAGCAGCTGACAACTGATCGGAGGCACCAATCCCGCGTTTATATTTTGGAATGTGATCTTTCTCCCACCATGCACTTAGTGACCTTTCTTATATAATTTGGCCAGGGCCCAGCTTCGACGCATCAAGAGTTTCTTGAAGCTTGACATCACCCGCCAGTACATTGACGGCAATGGCCGCCACCGCATAGCACCTTTGCTAGGAGATCAAGGTATCATTTTCAGGGCTAGTCCGGGACAAGATCAGATAAAAACGGTTCTCGGGGATAACCACTGACTTTAGAAGTTGTCTAGTTCTTATATAGATGATGAGTGGGCTTCCCAACAACTCAGGCAGGCGGCAAGGATTTGCGTTCGACGGGAATATACCCGGGCTACCTTGGCCTGAAGGCTCCTTGGCATAATCCATAATTTGTAAAGTTAGTTGGGTATTCCCCATGTCTTGTGATCCAGTTTCCATAGCCATCTACTGAATATCAGGTGGGAAGACTTCTGTCTGAGCACATGAAGAATATGAGTCATGAGTATGATGCTGATGAGGAACGTTTCACACCTTTTGAGGATGCTGGGCCAGAATCTGATTCTGATTCTGGTCTGGAGGATCTGTTGGGGGCGCCCCCCAACTAAGTTTCTGGTATGGGGCACATGTCATGCTGTTTCGGAGGCTACCATGTGTCATATAGTCACTGGACTCGCTGTTCGTCCTATAGAATGAATACATATTGCGTTAAGTGCAGACAATGATTGAGGCAGGGGTCCATTGACAGGGGAAGTCCGATGCTTGGGGCGAAATCTGGGCAAGTTGGTGCCTGGTGGGAAAACCCTGGACCGTGTATCACCGTGTATCTGCGTGTATTCGACTCTTATTAAGGGGCTAATACCGTGTATCACCGTGTACCGCCTTTGTTACATTTGCCTGCTTACACCTTGAGTATTTGGATGTGGCTATATTGGCTTAAAGGTTCTTGTTGGTAGATCTATAGATAGATCCATGGCGTCCAGTTCAGGGAAGCCTGCTGAGAAGGGAAAAGGTGCTGGAAAGAAGGGTAAAGCGGCCTCCGCTATGCCTGAAACCTCCTGGCCTGCGTCTTCCCATCACAAGATTATCCACGACAAGTATGGGTCTTATCTAGAGGTGGCTCCTAGGA